GCTCGTGACAACAACACGATTTTTACGTTAAAACTTGGTGACCAAACTTTTTCTGATAATCGTAGTAATGGGACTTTTTCCTTCCTTCCAGTTTATCATGTACAGTCAGGACCGTAGAAAACAGTTCCACAAACTTCGTGTGGTTGGTGCCGGAGATATTGATGTGGGCCAGTGTGAAAATGCTCTTCTGCAAAAACATATCAGTAGCCCCACACCCCTTGGGTCTGGGAACCTGGATTGGCCTCGCAAGTGTCTGTGCATGACTACCAGCAGTCTACCCTGGGCAGTGATATAAACATAACAAAATAATGGGAACCCATTGTGACCAACCAGTGTTTTGCCATAGATACTATTACAGTTCAAGTGATAAAGCTCAAAAAACCTTTTGACTGACCGAAGCACAAAGCTCTGCTAGTATTTGAACTTTCAACTCTCTCAAAACCTTCAATTAACAAATGCTTGTTGCTTTTTTTTTCTATCAAGATATTGTGTTAGAACATCAACAATATTCAATGAATATCAATAAACAATTCATAAATTTTGAAGTTTCTGATAAATTTTATACTGTGTAAAAACCATTAACAATAAATTAAATGCTGAAGATATCGATACTGACAACAGCTTTTTTGTTTATTAAAAGTGCTTATTTATAAATATCTTTCCTTTCTATCTTCCACCTCCCTTTCATGTCTTTCGTGAGCCATTTTTCATTGTGCTTCAGGTTTTCGGCGTCCTCAGAAAAGAAATCCGACTCGCATAGTGCTTGAGAGAGTATTTTCAATGCATCAATGAGCTGACTAGATGCAATCACATCCTTGTATTGTCTTTTGGCCTTAATTTCCTTCGCATTAGCGAACAACCTCTCTATAACACCTGTAAAGTGGGGGCCGCTTTCAACGTTATTCTTTCGCACATCGGAAGGGCATCTATCGTAGCATCGTAGTCGCCATATTGGACACTCGTGATCATGAACTGGCAAAACTGCAGATTTACCGGTTTCTTCAAATTCTGGGAAACGCTCCATTTGTTGCCATAAGTCCTTGTTTTCAGAGTAGGTGTTCACAATGAATTCTCCCGGTTCCAGAGGCACTTCAGGGGCGTTTGTCGACAAAACAGCCAAAGTCCCAGCGTCCACATTTTGGCGATCAACAAGCTCGATGCCTGTTCGGTGTTGCCATAAATATCGAAATTCGTACACGTCAACTTTTCTCTCTTCCTCGTCGATTGTCAAGCTACATGTTCCTAGAAGTTGACGCTGTTCTTGGCTACTCATTGCACTTTCAGTACGGGAAAAGGTTAGTGAAACAGCCCGACCTCCACAAACCTGTTTCAAACATGGCGGTTGCCGACGGTTGGAAATCGTCCCAACCTCGTCCCCAGGGTCTTCTCCACTTCTCAAAGGGTAGTGCCCTGGAGACAAGGTTGGTTATCGGTCCCGTTGCGGGTTTCCCGCTGCCCGCTGCATGGGAGGCTCGATTTCCAGCCGTTTTGTGAGCCCGCGAACAACCGGCTGGAAAAAAAGAACCGGCTCGAAAGCTGTATGGCGGCGGAAAAGAAACCTGTACTTGCAGACATTCGACAGAAGACCATTACCATCCATTAACGGCATCGATGTGTTGCAAATGACGATTTTACAGCATATTGCACTTTTCAGCTGACTTGTTCTGCCGAATTGCTAGATTTTAATTTCTTGTTTGCAAGTAAAATCAGGGCCGGAATTCAAATAATTTGCAAGATTACTTGAATCAACGATCACTACGAATGAAAACAAAACAGTGTAGATATTCAGTGTGATAACTAATTGTTTGATCACAAGATTGCAGAGTTGGACTTTCCAAGGGGCCCGCAAAGCTACTGATATTTCGACCGGTAAAAAATGCTTGTTGTTCAACAATGGCACAGTGAGTTCTAAGACGCTCTCTTATATTTTACGCCGTCGGCTAAATGAGTTCTTGCGTGACTGCAAATGCTGATCATGAATATCTTCGCCTTTGCGCTCCTCAGAAGACTGAATATGCTCATAGTTACGGTGAAATATCGGGATGTTTCTTGGGTACTTTGTTTATCAGTGATATTTCTACATCATTTGCTTTCACGGCCAAAAGAAAATAGCGATAAATAATAAAAGACTTTTTCACAATAAAAATCTTGTGTTATGGCTTTCTTGTGGCTTTCACAGAATGGCCCATTGCATCTATTACTGTATACTGAAGAAACTTCTACTGTATGTAATACTTTATTTAGGCAAGTCACGTCTAGGAGCTACACAAGGAACGTGTAAATATATGTTTGGTAATATAACGAAAAAGACGTGACTATCAGTTGAATCTGAAATCTGCAGATTCTTTGGCTTCTTTACACGGAAAAGCAGCGAAAAGACTGATGAAGTGTACTTTCTGAAGGCGGAACGTGGCACTGAATCAAAGGAGGAATCGAAGACCACATCCTATTGGACAAATCAATGACTAAACAAACCGTTTCGGCCAATAAGAATGTATCTTAGAATGGAAATTAAAATCAAACATGTCAGTTGTTAAACAAACCTATTTTAACGAGGATTTTAATATTAACAAACAGCAGTTTGCCTATGAAACTAAAGTTTGAATTACTAGGAAGAAACATCGTCATCTCAGTTGTGGAAAGAAACAAGCTTCGTAAGTGTGAATTTGATTATTTTGATCAGTTTTAAATCCTTACATTTGATTCTATTTTCTGTTTTGCTCGATTTAGCTTCTTCATTTCCTCTCAAACTCCACAGGCGCAGCTGACTCTTACTTCAAAGGTAAGCGATTTTTATTTTTGATAATTAAGTGAACCTAATTCGTGAAACGAGAGGTATAAAATGGATGCCCAGAAAAGGAAAATCTTCGCTGGTTTTCTTTTTTAACAGAAAAATTTAAATTTCACTACCAGAGGTTTGTGCAGACTTCAGACTGGTGAAAATCGAAAACCTTAACTGGGGCCATAAAAAAAATGAAGATCATCATTTTTCGATTTTCTTGTTTTTCGCTTAATCAGCTTTTCAAGTTTCAAATTGTTTCTATGTGAATCCCATCAAATTAAAGTATAAGAGAACAAATTCATCCCGAAAGGTTTCACACTACTTGAAAACTGGAAAAACCAACATGTGCAAATAAAAAAAGCTACTCGACTGTTCTAGTATCAGACTATTTGTGTAGGAAATAGCACGGTTTCTAGTCTGGTTCAGGCTTGGGTTCTGTTAAGGATAAATACCGCGAGTGATATTTCAAAATTCTCAACACTGTTGTCACGAGCCTCGAAGCGGCTAGTTGTAATCTAAGAGTTGTGAAATATCCTTAGACGATATTTATTCCAACTTCCCCCCAGAAACCGTGTTTATACTACAAAGCAAAGAAATTTCACAATTTATGCAACACATACATGTATTTGTATATTTATTTACTCACGCGCAACATGTGATTTAACACCCGGCCCTGCAAGCAAGGCCTTTTCGTTACGGTACATGCTATTTTTCCGTGCAAAAAAGAGATAAAAGAGGCTCTGCTCTGCTTAAAAATGTGATTGTGATCAAACTGATGACTGTGATGAAAACTGTACTTTGCTTAATTTTGAGATGTTACACTGAAGCATCTGCCATCGATTCTGTGGGACATATCGCTCCTCGGCTCCGGAAACGTTTGGCTAAGCTCGTGAGTAGTTCATGGTCACTTGATTGACAGCCGTGGAAGCTGTTGATAGTCACCATCCGTTTCTTGCACATCATCAGCGTGTTTGCCCCAGTAGAGGAAACCTCAACATATTCAAGTGACGACCTTGGTTGGACTTTATTAGCTGAATGTCTTTATACTTATTGAAAAATCTTCCACTTACATGTCGCTCGAGTGCTACTGACATCCTATTCATCCGAAGTGCTGCTTAAATAAAATCGACACGGTCGCTGTTAGGAACTTCGATGACTGGTTGTCAAAGAGCCCTTGCAATCACAGCACTCGGCCGTTGGGACCATGCCTATGACGCATGAGAACGCTTGAAGTAGCCCTGTTCACTGAGGAAGCGAGGTTTCCCTTCAAATACTTTACGACTGTTCGCAGTCTCTTTGTCCTTGGCAATGGAAATGCTATATCCTGCTTCCTTGAAATGACGGTCCAGTGACGCTATCATTACCCGCAAACTGTCAGTCTCGCTCTCCAAACCATCCTTCTTTCTCACCTCGGCAAAAACACTTTTTCTGGTTTCTCATCAACTTCCTCGGCTTTAATTCGTAGCTTTCAATATCTCGACCGTATTATTTTTTTTGTTTAGCCTATATATATTGTCGCAATAGTACTTAACCCAGGTCTTGGATTTTTTTCTTTTTGTTTTCCTTTTAAGAAGCATTCAATTTTCCTACGTTATCCTTGTAGTTGTCAGGCATCACACTAGAAAATCTATTCGCCATAGTTGTAAAATTCAAAACAATAAAATTTTGGTTTCATGGAAATTGTAATTTTTACATGTAAGTATTTCAAATTCTCACACTTTAGGAATTTCTCTTCATTTAGTGGTTCAGTGTAACATTACACATAATTAGCTGCCGATATAGCAGATAATATAATAATAATAATAATAACAATAATAATAATAATAATAAAGTTTTTTGGGCGCATTTAAAAAACTCAATGCGCTTACTGGAACTGGAAAGAATGTACCTGGAAAAGGTATGACGTCAAAGACTCAGGTTTAATCCAGGCAAGTGATATGCAGCACAAGCGTACATGTATTCAACAAAGTTCTGTCAACAGATGTCCTCTGTTGTCTACCCAACAGATGACATTGTTATTATAATTAGTTTGGGATAGCATTTTATTGCCGGTTTTCATCAAAGATAAAAATCGTTACCATTACTGAAAAAAATGAAATTTAGATCACAGAGCTTTGTATGGAGACACCATGTTAGTGCCCATTGGAGGGGCAAAAAACGTGGTGACCGTAAAGTAATAGAAACATATGTCATTGAGTCTTGCTGTTGAAACGGCTCATTGAATTTAATAGCAGAGCTCCTGCGCGCCTAAGACGTGCGAGCGGAGTCCCATAAGCGCCCTGCCCATGGTAACCCATCGATCTAAAACATTTTTGTTGTCACATGGCTGTCCGTACGTACGTCCGCACGTCCGTCCGTTCGTCCGTACGCCAGTACCTTCAAAAATAACTAAAGAGTAGCACCGTAACCATAGGTGCATCTTTGATATTGGACATCCATGTTATGGTTAATTGACAGCTTTCAAAACAAGATATCAACTGACCAGCATCATGTGACCATATCGCGGGCTCTAGTTTAGAGCTTATTCACCCCTGGCGTGTTGTTGACTTTTCTTCTGATATATTCCTTGCACAATCGTCTTCTGGGAAGTCCCTGCTATATTGCGTACGTAACTTCAACAGTCTTGGTTACGCTTATTGGCAAAGTTTTTTAAAATGCTACTGAAAAAAGTAGCGAAACCACACGCTGAAGAAACAAATGCTACAACTGATCATTTTGTGAGTTTCTGATCCAAGAAAAACATATCCTCTTTTTTCTTTATGGTTCATTACTGCAATTAGGAGCTCAGCCTTAGGCTTCGCTAAATGTATATACTACTTCCTCTAGTACAGGAACTGTTTAAAGTGAAGAATGATCATCGCAGTAAATTTTCCAATTTATGCAATTGGAAAGAAGAAGCCTGAAAAAAATCAGG